GAAACAATGCCCACACAAATAGTGGCAACACTGCTGTTGACGAATTGTAGTTCTTAGTTGTCGCATGTCTCTATTGAATTATAAAATCGACTTTCCCATTCCTGCCCACCCTACACTTGAGTAATATAAGAATACAACAACAATAAAATATTATTACCTTGAAGATATGCTCCTGTCCCATTTCCTTACTCTCCTAAGATCACAACTGCAAACAACGACGGCGACGACAACGATTTTTCAGACGATCGAGAGTGACACGAAAAACTTAAACAAACGAAACTCTGAAATGGCACGTAGCCCAAATTTATTTAACACAACATTTTATATTGCCAAATAATTATATTTTCAATGAACACAAACATTGATGGGCAACTTGCAAATAAAAAAAACTACACAAACAAATAAAAACGTGATAAAATTAATAGTTTTAATAACAATATCAGATTCACTGAATTGTATATAACTTATTATAAAAATGTACAGACGGTGAGTCATTAAATTATTACCGAAATTAAAGAAAACACGACTCGCGAAACTCCCAACGAACTACTCGAGCACGTCTTCAATTAAAACAGAAAATAACTAAAGAGAAAATAATTGTAGGGTTGCCATAATTAATGTAATTAGATCAAAATTGTGATAGTGGACTTCATTCAGTTATTTAGTCGTGGGGTTTAAAGGAGTAAATAATATCGAGATTTTATATACTGAAAGAGTTATTGTAAGTTATTGAGGTTTCGGATTTATTGTTCTAAGTTAATGTTGTTGTCGGTTATTCAAATCGCTTCAAACCATTTGTATTTAGCGAACGGGTAGCGCTAGAACCCTGAAAATTGAAGTGAGGATCATTGATGCGGTGTAGGATAGATGTACCAAAGCCTTTGGTGGAACTGGAAATTCGAACTATAAATGTACTGTAAAATGTACTAAATGTGTTCCAATTTCGTAGCATGTGAACGGATAGAGCTAAAAATAAATGGTACTGAATTCAATACAACTGGGATTTGGGTGAATCGATAGAGATGAAACACTGACATTTGGAAATATAATTACTACTGCATTGTAGAATAGAATTGTAGAATGTATTCTAAATGGTACTAAATTCGATACAATTTGGATTAGTAATCCAATATATCTATAATCCTGAAATGTGGAATTTAAATTACTATTGTAATATAGAATTGGGGTATTTAATTTAATACAAATTATATTTGGAAATTTGTACTTATATGCAGCGAGGGGGGCAGGGCTGAATACATGGGTAACCCTATAGGGCTGGAATTCTGAAAATGGAAAAAAAAAACATTTTTTATTTGATTGTATCATGTATGTAGTTATGGAACTATGTACTAAATTTGGTACAATTTAGATTTTGGTGATCCGATAGGAATCCTGATATTTAAAATTACTGTTGGGGTGTAGGATTGAAGTATGTAGGAAGGCATATGTGTAATATATGGATTTGGTTGACCCGCTGGAATCTTGAAATTGGGAAATATCATATGTATTGGATTTATGATGTTAGTCGTTATGGAAATTTGTACTTATGTAAATTTGATAAAATTTGGATTTAGGTTATGGAGTGTGAGATCGGGGTATGTGGGAATGGTGGACCAAATGGTGCTGGAAAATTTGGAAATATGATTTATATTGAATACCTATGAAAATTTATATTAAGTGGTACAACATATATGAACAATATTGCCAATTTTTTAATATTCCATTTTCATAAATCGGCTGATATCAAAATTACACAAGTCTGTGTAGCGATTTGTAAATTACAGCGACAACAAAACAAGATATTGAGGAATATTATTTGTTTTTTTGTTCGAAGAAATAATGTCATTATATTTATTGTTTAGTTTTTTTTTTTTTACAAGAAATTTCAGAAAAATATTAGTATTATTATTCAATTTTATTATGATTTATATGATTATCTTCCAATCCATGCAGGTTTTGCGAAATTTCATTTGACGGCTAAGATGTGCTACATGTTGCATTGAAGTACCCAAAAACTAGTAAAACGCGAATAATTTCCGAAAAGTCCATATGCCATTAACGCACATCCGATTTCGGTGTGCACCCTAAATACATCGATCTATATATATTTCAATGCGGTCCATTAAGAACCATGGATGACCCTGCTGATTCTATTTTTGAGATAAATTCGGTACATCTCTCTTTCGGCTGAAGTTATTAAAGTTCTGTTTTTGCAAAAGTTCAAAATACGTATAAAGTCATTTATTGAAATGGAAATGACCCACAGAAAATGCAATTAAATCTGCATTATTTTCAAAAACATTTCTTGCCAAATTTCGCCAGTTCCCGCCGTTCTAGTAGATGGATTTTCACGAAGAAGATTTTATTTCATCCGAAACATAAAAAAAACTTTACTGATCGCGGGTACCCATATCATTCAATTGACAGATCTAAAAATTTGGCCAAAAAATAGGTTTTTTAGAAATTTGATCGCACAAAATTTTCACATTTGGATGAGTATTACTCTGAAGCTGTGCATACTACATACACAAAATGTATATAAAATTACTCAGATTCGCGGCTACAATAATCTTATAATCGATTTTTAGAAATTCCTATTTGCGTATTAAAGCTAGAAGTAAATTTTAAAAAAACACTGAAAATCGAGCTTCAAAATGTCAGAATCATTTAAAGGTAGATGCAGTTAAAATTTTGAAAAATGATAAATATTTTGAAAAATGATAAATAAGAGAAGTAGTCCCCATTTTGTAGGCTTTTAGTATTACTTTAACAAGAAGAAATGAGTGGCTTAGTCACAAATCGATACTTAAGTAATTCCCGAATTATAAAGTGGCGAACCTCGTCTTCAGCTATGTTAAAAAATTGGCAATATTGCCCATATATAGTTTTTCCAGTTGCGGTTAGTATTCATGTTATGGAAATACGTACTGTATGAGAACAAAGGTACTCAATAGTACATAAATTTTAATTATGGCCGATATTGGTGTTAAGTTGACTGTGAAAACAACATAATATTTTAAGATATGTTTTAATATTTCCGACATAAAGATAGTAGGTTGTACAAAGTTTGGTTGATATCGGATAGTCCGTTCTCATGATATTATAAAATTATTATAAATTAAAATGAAGTCCGGAAATTTTACTTCCCCAAACACCAAATCCAAGGCTTTGGTGCAGGCGCATCCTCCTGTAGAGATGAACGAAACGTGATGACAGATACAGATAGCGTGTTGATGATCTGGAAGGAGCCTTTTGCATCGCTTCTGGGATCAAATGGTAACGGTGAATATTGTATACCAACTAGCCAAGATAAGGTCAAAATATTAATTAATCGTCTGAAGAGTAATAAAGCAGCAGGTGCCGATGGATTACCGGCCGAACGATTCAAAACTGGTGGTCAGATGCTAATCAGGAGCATTTATCAACTGATTAGCACAATTAGGCTAGAGACCCAATGATTGGAACATCAGCATCCTGTACCTGTGCAAAAAAGAAGACAAGACGATATGTACCAACTATAGAGGAATAAGTCTCCTTCCCTTCGCATATAAAATGCTATCCAACGTGCTGTGTGAACAAATGGTGCCAGTGGTCAATTACATTATTGGATCATACCAATGCGGCTTCAAACCTGCCAAATCCATCATAAAACAGATTTTCACTCTTTGCCAAGTCATGCAAAAGACCTATGAAAAAATCGATACGACTATGCAGTATAACTTTAACTGGCCCTTGTTCAACTGTTAAAGACGGAACTCTCGGAACCCTTCAATACCGAACATCCTGCTGGAAAAGGTCATTCGGTATGCAAATGTGAACAGAAATGGTACTCTTTGCACCAAACAACAGATGTTACTCGCCTACGCCGACGACATCGACATAATGGTTCGAACATTGCGAGCTATAACAACCACATTTGAACGAATTGAGAAGGAGTCTGTCAAAGTGAAACTGGCAGAAAATGGCGAGAAGACCAATCTAATGTTAACAACACGCAAGACATCATGAGTTGTAAATCTATTCTCGGACATCGGAATAGTGAGACTATCGAGCTGCAGCGACTACGGTGGCTAGGTCATGTTGTGAGAATGGATGAAGATACCCCAGCTCAAAAGGGATCCACGTGGAAAGACACGAATTCGATGGAAAGATCAAGTGGAAGAGGACATTTTGAAACATTGTCTTTCAAATATGAAGAGCTGCGGACAAGACCGACGCGCCTGGAAATATATTCTATGCTCGGCTTATAGACCAAATGTTATGCCTCCAGCCAGCTAAGTAAGTAATTATTTGGTCCAAAGAAACATTTGTTGTATTCAGTATATTTCCAGTACGGGTATTTTAATGATCACAGGGATTTCAGATTTTTGGTAGTTGAAATCATTCGCCACCGAATATTTTCATGTTTTGACATAGCCTCCAAACTTCCACGAAGTTCCGTTCCACAAACTGAAAGAGACTATTTTTGCTCAAGTTTTTTGTTGGAAAATTTGTGTGTAAAAAATGGTATCCAGGAATGCAAACTTATAATTAGTTTCCCAATTAGTTTAGACATTTTTACTTGTTTTCCTTTTCAGTACATTCTGTTGTATTATTTTGTAATCTTAGAGCGATTTTGACATTTTTCCCTTTTACCAGCTCTATCATTAAAATATGTACGGAAACAGAACATTAGCATGCTTCTTAGCTTCTCTAAGGAACAGAGATGGATGTAACCTTATCATCTCAAAAATAAATCTATTATCAATATAAGTAATAACCTTGACTAAGAAAATTAAATCCCTTCTAAAAAGTAAATGTCTTATTTCAAATCTTTATTTACTCTGTAACATTGTAACAAAATTAGAACAGAAACTAACATTAATACCACGAAGTAAAGTTCACAAATCTACAAAACTATAACTATTATCTATAAAGAAAAATTATAAATTACACTTATAACTAAAAGAAACATTAATAATATACAAATCGAAAATCCACATTGCGCCGATCGTCGTCACCTAAACTTCAATGACATATGCCTGACGATATTTCCGATTGGGTTTTGAGACGACAACGGTCTTGTGGGGACGGCTAAATTCCGATGTTGGGGGACGGCGACGAGATCTCTTACCACTTGGAGGCAACGATACAACTGGCTTGGGGAATTGTTCACGATATGGTGTTGGGGCATTGGCTACATATTCATCTTCGAAATCGACCTCTTTGTGGAAATGTTCCTTTTCGGCTGATTTCAAAAGTTTTTGAAATTTCGGACTACTCAACAATTGCAGTTTTAAAGCCTCATCCAAAAGTTTTTCTTGATCTTCCAGATATTTTTCGATTTGTTTCTTCGATGCGACACCATTGAAACGATCACGTTGACTTGCTTTAAGAGATTTTAGAGGTACATCGGCATTTTCATAGGAATCACTGTGCGGCTCGTAGACATCATAGCTTGGCGTTGAATGATGATGAGAACTGATGTGAGAAGCCACAGTGGATTTCGGAGGTGCAATCACATGGAATGGATCGGGTTCATAAAGTTTAGAGAATTTCTGTTTTTTCACTGCACTGCTAAAGTATTCCGGGGCAGCTCGCTGCTCTTGAGAATTATCCAAAGAATAACTTCCGCCAACACTGCTGCCTATTGTTGTATATTTACTACTCTTCGTGGGGTGAGATGGCGATTTGATTTTCTTCGGCACCGATATGGGATGTTGTACCCGAATGTGTGTACCAATGGTGTATTCTCGGCTATCGTGATCCTTACCCAAATATGGATGACGGGCTTCATTGGAATATTCATCGGAAGAATAGCGTTCCGATGAGGTATCATCTTCGTCCTGTAAATAGTATGGATTCTAAATTAATTTTTTAAAAGGTTTCTTGAAAAGTTTTTTTTCGGAAATTTAATACTAATTTTATTTAATAAATTGGTAAATACCAAACTCACCGAACTATATGATTTATAGGGCTTCTTGGAATATTTGGAAGATCTATGCTTGGATTCCTCGTGTATTAAATCACTTTTATAGGTCAGTGGTACAAAACCACTGCTTTGATGATGATAGTAATGCGAGGTGGGCGTTACACCGGAATTGTAATAACTTCTTGAATAGGACTGCGCTTTAACTTCGATATTTGTTGTTACGCCTCCCAGCGCAACTAGCAGTAGTAACTGTAGATTATAAGAAGATAATTATTTTTTAGTTAGTTGTAAGAACTGTAATTCTACAGGTTCAGGCAAGCTTAATGGTGACAGTTATGAACTGAAAATGAACATTTAAATATATAGGATTCACATCTTGCTATATCTTCCTTACATCTAGCTATATCTCCCTTTAAGACTTTAAAGGTCTTAAGCGTATTTTCCAACAGAAGTGTCTATATTTTAACATTACAAAGCTGCTGTTTTTTGGCATTTCGTGACTGTAATTGGCAAAATTGCTCTACAGAGAATATTGGCTAGAATATCTCCCCACAAAAAATGATAAATATTGATCCATCATTTGGGAGTATTCTATTAGTAAAAGCCCGACTAGTTTTCGAAGTATTTATACTGTGGTACAGGGTATTATGTATTTGTGCATATGTTTGTAAAAATAATCGAAATAGACCCATGGTTCATTTTGAGAATATGCATAAATCACTTTCTGAGTCGATTTATGCATGTCCGTCCGTCCGTACATCCGTCTGTCCATGTTAAATTGTAAACAAAGTGCAGGACGTATTTATGATCCGAATTGGACGAAATTTGGCATAGTTCACTTATTTGGCCCAAGGACGAACCCTATTGAAATTGGGAAAAATTGGTCCAGATTCAGATATAGCTCCCATATATATTTTCGCCCGATTTAATGTAAATGGTGTACCAAAGTCGATTTGCACGAAATTTGGCATAGCGTAATTAATTAAGTCTAGAATGATGTGTGTTAAGTTTCCCTAAAATCGGTCCAGATTTAGATATAGCACCCATATATATATATATATTCGTCCGATTTAAGGTAAATGGTGTACCAAAGTCCCTATATATCTTTCAATTTGCACGAAATTTGGCACAACGTAATGAATCAGGTCTGGAATGACGTGTGTCACGTTACGAGAAAATCGGGTCAGATTTAGATATAGCTCCCATATATATTTTCGTCCGATTTAAGGTAAAAGGTATACGAAAGTCCGTATATAAATTTCAATTTGCACAAAAGTTAGCACAGCGTAATGAATTAGGTCTAGAATGATGTGTGTTAAGTTTCCTGAAAATCAGTCCAGATTTAGGTATAGCTCCCATATAAATTTTCGTCCGATATAATGTAAATGGTGTACCAAAGTCCCTATATATCTTTCGATTTACACGAAATTTGGCATAGCGTACTGAATTGATTCTAGAATGACATGTGTCACGTTACGTGAAAATCGGGTCAGATTTAGATATAGGTCCCATATATATATTCGTCCGATTTAATGTAAATGGTGTACCAAAGTCCCTATATATCTATCGAAATGCCCGAAATTTGACATATCGTACTGATTAAAGTCTAGAATGATGTGTGTTAAGTTTTGTGAAAATCGGTTCAGATTTAGATATACACTGCGTATCATAACTATAGACGCACCTTTAATTCAATTGGTATGTTAGTTGACAAATAAAATGGATCCATTAAGTTATTGTTCACAATAAAACGATCAAAAACACATATTATTCAACAAAAATAATTAATTTATTCTTTATGGTTTCGCCGAATTCTGCACTTTCAAAATTACTGGTGTTGCATAACTATAGACGCATTTTTACAAAATTAGAAAAATTCATTTTTTAAAACTTATATAAAATAAAATAACTTTTATAATTAATGGATAGGGCCTCCCTTATTATTTCTGCCTACGTCCCTGCTCTATGGTACTACAACCCCATCCGTCTTTTGCCATTATTTACATTTATTTTAACTAATTATATCTATAGAGTGTGAATGACCTGACCAACAAATTTAACTAGCAGTAAGTGAAATCAGTACTATTTGAAATACGATACACATTTATTAATACATAAACATATTATTAAGCTCATTTAATGTTATTAGATAGTAATTTGTTAAAAACTTATTTCATTTCCTATCTTTTATTTCGAGTGTTTTTTACCAGACTGTTTTACGTGGCGCATAGTATCTTATTTCATAATAAACGATATAATATGTTTAATTTGTTCAATTTAAATTTGGCAATTTGGTAGTGGTGTGACTGACAAATGGCATTTAGAACACTCCTACTAGATTTATTCTACAATATAGGTGGTTGTTAATTTATATTCTTGCAATTTGGAAATAAGATAATTTGGCGATATTAATTTAAAATTGTTCATCATTAGCATGAACCATACATTATGTGGGCTGAAGAAATATAGTTTCTATTTTTAGAAGAAAAAAAAATCTGGTATGAATTTTACGACTTTTTGGCCAAACCCAAGACAATAGCTTACGCGACCTTATAATGCATTTTTTAGGTCTATAAAACGCTCCATGAGCTAAAACCTGCACTGGAAGAGTAGCAGATTGTTTAAACAAAGAGGATTCAAATTAGAAAATTACAGCAATTTCGGCTGAAAACCGTACCAAAAGTACCAAATGTTGAAGGTATATGGAGAATATACAGAAATGTGGGCCGATATATCATATTCACAATATTAACCCACATTTTTAAAATTCCTAAGTATTGAGATCTATACATAGATCATAGTGATCAAGATTATATATCTATGGGGTCAATATGGGTTCTGCGGTGAACATTTCGAAGCATTGCTAATGGAATAACAAATTTAATATAAAATCTACCTTAGGATGGTATAGACCCACTATTGGACATTTCATCCGGATGAATACATTCGAAATTCATGAACACCTTACCGTAAAAAGTTTCGCAATAATTAGTAAAACTACATTTTAAACAAGTGAGGCCTAGCTTCAACGTGGACCGATATAGCCCATCTTCGAACTTTACCTGCCTGCCGACAAAAGACGACCCTATGCAAAATTTTGGCGATCTATCGCAATTCGTTTTGATTGATGGCAACAGGCAGACGGACTTGGAAAATCGTAATAGAATTTTACGCTGATCAAGAATATTTCGATGAGTTAAAAACGGAAAAATATTAATTAAAATGATTATAACCTCCATTCTAGGAGCTATGTCGAAAACTGAATCGATTTCAACAAAACTTTCGTCTCAATCGGACAAATATTGAGAGTTTGGTGCATTATTTAGATAAAATCGAACGGAAACACATATGAGACCAATATCTTGATCGGAATCAATTTTCTCCAGTTTCAATAGGGTTCGTCCTTGGACAAAATAAGTGACCTGTGCCAAATTGCATCCAATTCGAATCATTAATGCGACCTGTACTTTGTTTACATTTTAACATGGACAGTCATACGGACATGCATTAGTCGACTCAGAAAATGATATGATAGACATATTCTCAAAAGGAACCATGTGTGTATCCCGTTTACGTTTGCCTGTTACAAACATATGCACAAAGACATTATACCCTGTACCACAGTGTGGTGAAGGATATAAAAATAACTTCTGTACGTTATATGCACAAGAAAAACCATCTCACATTTCCATTGCAAAGTCTGATAATTGTTACTATAAAAGTCCTTAGTAAAAATCTGTACATTTTCGTATGACAATTTTTCACAAAATCGCTGAACCATGTATGACGATGAAACACCACCCTACAGTACAGTAAAATAGGGTTAAATAATTCTATACTGGTTCGATGTTGTCTAAAAAATATTGATGCCTCAAAACATTGATGTCATGTGCGAACTGATCGCGACATACCGACAGATATCCTTGGGCATTTCTTCCACCAATGTACATTCGATATTGCCTGACCATTCGATCCCGGGGTGCTTCGAAAGGGGTTTATATGATCGTTACAGGCGACGAATTATGGTTCTATAAGTATGAGATCAAAAGAAAATTGCAATCGATCATCTGGGTCTTTGAAGAAGACTTAATTTCGCACGAATGTTGTTCGTGGAAGAAGCACGAAGTAAGGATCACCTGCTACTTCCGCAAAACTGGTCATGTGGTGATTGTTCCGTTTGTGCAACACAATTTGTTTGCCTGAAGTCTTCAAGGAAATTGCAAGAAACTAGGGAGGATAGACGAATCAACGATCACCATGACAATGTGAGGTCTCTCACATTGGCTCAAACTAACGGAAGTTAAAGGGTCACCCGCCGTAAAGGCCTGACGTGGCTCCCAATGACTTATTTTTATTTTTGCATATCAGTAAAAATGAGTGACCATTCATGATTTTTCTTATCAGAAGATGTCGTCGAAGTGTTCAAAACCACATTTTAATGGAATCAAATCGGAGTTAAAAAAAGTTTTTCAACAATTGGTTTAAGCGCAAATAATTGTCTATAAGTTATAGCAGAGAATATTAAAAAAATAACACCATTTATGATGATAAATATTCGCATTTTCATTATTACGAATAATAAATTCCAAACATGATCCTAATTGTAAATTTAATCCTGACGGACAAATTTAAATCCACTCGAATATGCCCGAATATATTTGGTTCAATATTTTGATTATGCTTATTTTATATCGTATCATTAATCTATGGACTGAGGGTGGAAATATGTCGCGTTTCTAATCTAGTTTACGGAATAATGTTTATTTGCTTTCATTTCGACTTCTCTTTTCATTCCCTTTTTATACCCTCACACATTGCACGACAAAAAAGTGCTTCATCGATGTATTGGTTTTAGAGCCCAATCTTCTTTAAGCCAAAATAGTTTCAGAAAATGTGTATGTCCGACCTAAACGGTCGGTCGGATACACATTTCTGGTGTGGACGATAATTCTCGAAAGGATTTCTTCCTAACATAAATATAATTCAAAGATGGAAAAGAATATCGGTCCACTACTCCCGGTCAAAAATTAGCTGAAAATGAATTTTATACCATGCATACGAACTATCCTATTTGCCCATTCCAATATTTGAACCATGCTCGTATAATGATTGATGATTATCCACCGATTCCCACAATGTGTCAGATTTTAATGTTTAAACCTAATATAACGCGAAATTTCATCCAAACTTTGCGCATCATAATATTTGTATTAAACGTTCTGGTACCTACCTAACAAAGGCTCGACATTTTGAAATGTTTAAAATCCAATAAACCGAATGGAATTTCCAATTTGATGCAAGCTCTGCACATCGTAATATTTTTTACCAAATATTTCTATTAAATCGAGTCTGGAGATGGGACCCATTAATCTACTACTTCTGATACCTCCCCCACAAAGAATCAACATTTTTAAAAACCTATAAATTTCATAAAACCTCATATTAACTTTGCAAAGCTTTCACTTTCCTTAATTGAAGGACCACACCAAATTTCCAATCAGACTAAATTACAGACAAATTTTAGTGTAGGTTCATGTTTTGGTTTAGCCTCCATATATGTAAGTATTCCGGCCGCCACCCAACGATGGAGTATATACAAAATTGAGTTCGGTTTAATTTAGCGCTTAAATTGATTAAAAGTAGGTTCTACAATCTGAAAATCGGAATCGAAAATGTACTTGTCCGAATCTATCTCTCTCAAATAAATGTAACTATTTCAGACGAATCCAAAGATGGTCATAATCTACAATTATACATAGTTGTATATATTCTACTTTATGAATATACATAGATATAAGATCTTCTGAGCAAGGATCGGGTGAAAGTGAAAAAAACATGGAAACGAATATCGATTTGTTTGTCTTTGAGTGTGCTGGACACATTTGTACAAGTCAAAAATGCTCGTCTTCTGGTATTTAGGACTTCAGATAAAAGGAGTATATGTTTCAAAAAATATTGCATATTCGATTTGAATGTGAATATTCCTTCTTCTTCATGAACCCTACATTTGCAAGCAGAAAAATCATCAGCAAATTACTCAAAACTTCTATGACGAATTTATCCTTGTAGGTTTTTAATATAATCGCAAGGACTTTCATACCCATAAGCAATTTTTCACCCCCAGACCATAAGTTATTTTTGGATCACAATATATACAGTCATGTTTGAAATTAACCAGATATTTCTAGTAGCCGATATATGTATGTTTTCAATATGTTATTGATTTACATACCGATCGCATTTAGAAATTATTTTAATCAATTTTACATTAATATATTTTAAAATATTACTTCATTTTTATTTTTCACTAAATTCAAATTTAAGTTGCCCATTTCCATTTTTTTTATCTCAATTCTTGACAATGTACATTTCTATACTTTTTCCAAATTTACTTACAATAAACATGATGTTTAATGTCTTTTAATCTCAATTTATTTTTTCAAAATATTCACAGCTGTTCACACATTTAACTATCGGTGTCTTTTGCAATCGTAATTTGATGCGTGATTTAATAACTTTGTGGGGTGCTTCAAAAATATATTTATTTATTTTTCGTTTTCGATTTCTTTTTTTTTCATTCACTTCTTTATTTTGCAACTGCCATTAATTTATCAATATTGCGTCTTTTGAGTTTATCAAAATGTTGCTTTTAATTTCACATTTGTTGTTACCCGCACGTAGTCCATACAGAAACTGAAAGCAATTGCGGCGGCTACAACGGTTTTATGCCAACTTCCTAATGCCAAACAAACGCCAAAGACCAAACACCTCAATGTAGCCAAGCAATCCAACCTGCCAGCCAGTGAGCAAACCAACCAACCAGCCATCCAACCAACATATCAATGTTGTTTCAGTTTTTTCTGCGTCTTTCAATGAAGATAATTCAATTTAATAGCAAGTGGCTGGTAGCAGCATCAGTTGTTTTCTTCTTTTGGCTTGCTTCAAGTGTGTTCGACGTGCAAAACTCATTGATCGGTCCACAACACACCGCAGCACACAGCAAACAGGTGATGCTAGAGGTAAAGATGTAACAAATGCTGGTCCCATTGCATCAGCATCATCGACATCTCGATTCGCTTGTTTTTTTTTTCAATATTTCGAGGTTATCGTTAGCTGGATAACACATTTCGGGAATTACATCAATTTTTGCTAACCATAGCAAAACACAAGCAAGAAGCAAAAAAACCTGGGGAAAACAAACAAGCTAATAAATGGTAACATTTGCATTTAGTATTTTCCACATCCGAATTTCGACGCCACATCCGTTAAGGAAATCAAAAATGTATTTTCATATTTCCAGTGCTATTAAAAGTGATGAACAAAATATGCTAATTACGTGTAATATTGTGGGGATATGTATGTTTGGATGTTTGTATCTATATTATATAACAGCTAACAAATGTTTTGGGGAAAATCTGTTTAATATTTTATAAATTACATAAAAATAGCTGTCTGGATTTTTTTCCTATTTAAAAAATACTTTAAAATAGTCCTTCAAAATATATACCTTTAAATAAGGATCTAATATTGGTAGAAATCCTTTATTAAGTTCATATAGCCTATCATTCTGTTTCAATGTCGGTATTTTGGGGAGTTTGGACACGTTTATCAATCAATTAGACTGTAGCTTTATATTTTGTATTCTCATTGGGTGTCAAAAATTCCTATCACAAACTATCAATATCGGAACCAATTTTTACAGAGCTCATATAACGTTAAACCCACTTCAGTGGCCATTTTCAATATGGGAGTCTGCGAGGAATATCCACTCATGGTAAAGAGGTGGAAATTCCCTTTTTTAAAAACATTCGAAAGGACTTATGTTATATAGGAAACATACAGAGGATCTTACATACATATACCAGATGTTAAAAGGTTTAAAACTGTAAAGGATCGTATGTATATAGGATAGCTATATGGGGAAAACATTACAATTTTGTTGTAATGTGACATAAAGAAAACACGAACACATATTACGTGTATATGCTGCAAACCGGCTCAGATATAGATCTCATATATATTTCCCAGTAATTTAATGTAAATAAAAAGGCAACTGTTCAACATCTGCCAGATTGATGGGAAATTTACATAGGAGACTAATTTCAATCTATAATAAGATGTGCCAAATGTGGCCTAAATCGGTTCCACAATTGTCCGCAGTTCAGAATGACATGTCAGGAGAATTGATTAAACTCGAATTAGATTTAGATATAGCTACCATTATATCTGGTAGCTATATCTAATTCTAATTGTTCGTTTTCATTTAATTTAATGTAGTGTAGAAATCTTATCGGGATAATGGTGGTTTGAGTTATGAAAATATGACTGTTTAATCAAGGTGCTGAATATGCCTGATCATCATTAAAATTTGTGTCATTAATGGTTGGTTCAAATCGGACATTCAGTTCTCCTGATGCTGGATTTATAAATATAGAACATTTTTACCATTTGAGGGGGAGGTACCAAAAGGAGTGAACCAAATGTGTGGACTTGATCTAAGCTTTCAAAAGGCAATAGATTGTGCACAGTTTGGTACAGATCGAACATTCCATTCGCCTGATTTTGGATTCATAAATATTGACAATTTTGACAATTTGTGGAGGAGGTAGCGAAATTCTCCATCTTTGAACTTTAACTGAGTTTGGATACTCCCTTTGAGAGTTATGGTGCTCACCAGCCAGACTGAAAAACGGACGAACATTTGTAAATCGACTCTAAATTGTCTAAGACGGATTAGGTCCACAGAAACATGGGGTCTAAAACCTCATTAGCCATCAGGGTGAGAGTATAAAAATGCCAGGGTATGAAATTGAAGATGTTGACCTCCAATAAGTTAATAGGTTGCAGATATCGCAAAATATTGCCCAGGTTCGGAATAAAAATGGGCAGATTGTTTACGTTCAGTTGCGACGGAAATGTGCCCAACGTACTGCATTGAGCTTAGAGTGATGTATATTGACTTCTGTTTAAATAGGTTCAAATGTAACCTCTATATATTTTCGTCTGATTTCATATAAGTGCATGAAAGCACATGTGTTTCAAATGCCTGTTCTATCTACATGATATTTTACACCGGGGCATATCTTGTATGTACCCAAGTAGAAGGGAATCATATTGTCAATCCGTCCCACTTTCTTTACTGGTTTTACATATAAGGTTACCAGAATTTTCAATCATTTTATCGTGTGATTAAGCTAAATGTCTAGTCTAATAATTATGTTTATCAAACCTGATCTTTATCATATATCACGGAAATGAACTTTAGGCAGTATCATTCAAAACCATTCAATCTACGTTGATCTATAAAGAAGACAAAAGGGCTCCATAGGAAGCCTTTAAAATATGATTGACTAGCATATGCCCGCTACTTCGTTAGCGAATATGGGAAATATTTAAACACGTATTAACATATTATTATATATTCATAGAAAACTACATATGTCAGAACAAATAAGCAATCCACACATTAATATCGACAATAAATTAAATTTGAGTACTTCGAGCTCTAAAGGTTCACCAAAATCCAAATTTTACAAAATTTAGTTCCATTTAGCACACATTACTTCCATAAGTACCCACCTCAACCATCCAACAAAACTTTCTGCGTACCCCGATCCTACACCCCCACAATGATTCCAAATATAAATTTCAAGATTCCCACTCTAATGGTTCACCAACAATTCAAATTGTACCAAATTTAGTACACAGCAGTACGAATTTCCAAAACTTCTTACTTAACCCAATTCTACACCCCCACAGTGAACCTAAATCCAGAATTTCAGAATTCCAACTCTATCGGATCACCAACAATTCAAATTGTACCAAATTTAGTACACAGTAGTACGAATTTCCAAAACTTTCAACATAACCCAAACATTCGAACTCTATCGCTTAACCCACAATTTAAATTGTACCAAATTTAGTACAAAATTCCAAATCTTCCTACATATCTAACTTCAAATTTCAGGATTACCGCTTCATCGGTCCACTAAAAATTTAAATTTTACCAAATTTAGTAACATTTAGTATCCATAAGAATTAATTTTTTGAACTGACACCATTCATGCACCCCAGCAATGATCCAAATTTCAGGATCCCAGCTCTATTGGTTCAACCGAATCCAAATTGTACCAATTATAGTACGATTTTGTACTTTTCGTACACATAAGTATACAATTTTCAAAACTGTGTACATTCTAATCATATTTTCCGGCGGTAATGTTAATTTTAAAATTTAGGATTTTAGCTCCATTTGTACGTCCAATTAAAAATTGTACCCAATATAGTTCTATATAGTACTTTTCGTATACATGAGTACACGATTTAATAACCACCTCCTTATATCGACATTACTTCTCAACCTTAATTCGTATTCCAAATTTCAAGTTTTTAGCTCTATCCATTCACATGCTACGAAAGTGTACCAAATTTAGTACATTTAAGTACTTTTCGCATACCTATAATTCGAATGTCCAAAAACCTCTTTGCTATATCTATTTTACACTCCATCAGTGACCCACATTTAAAATTTAAGAGTTCTAGCTCTACAGGATCGCCAAATACAAATGGTATCACATTTAGTACTTTTCGTACCGTTCTAGTACGCATTCCCAAAAACATAGCCCAGGGTCACTTTTGGTCTATATAGTACTTTTCGTATACATGAGTACACGATTTAATAACCACCTCCTTATATCGACATTACTTCTCAACCTTAATTCGTATTCCAAATTTCAATTTTTAGCTCTATCCATTCACATGCTACGAAAGTGTACCAAATTTAGTACATTTAAGTACTTTTCGCATACCTATAATTCGAATGTCCAAAAACCTCTTTGCTATATCTATTCTACACTCCATCAGTGACCCACATTTAAAATTTAAGAGTTCTAGCTCTACAGGTTCGCCAAATACAAATGGTATCACATTTAGTACTTTTCGTACCGTTCTAGTACGCATTTCCAAAAACATAGCCCAGGGTCACTTTTGGTTCAAAAATGACAGATAACCTTTGAACCAAAAGTAACCCTCTCCCAAAAATTCAAGATTCTATCTTCAGCCGTTTTGTCTGGGCGTTGATGAATCGTTAAATCAGTCAGTCTATTACTTTACTCTTTTATTTGTTTAGATTAGAAGACATTCAGAGGGACAATTTCATTAAGAAAAGTCATTCAGAAAATTATCTCTAAGAACCGACGTTAAGAAATCTTACAGAATGTCTTATATATATGGAAAGTTCAGAAGGTCTTGTATGTAATTTATTCCATATATATTTATGTATCGTTCAAATGTACCGTCCATAGAAGACCTTAAAAGCACTTATTTGTATAAAATACTTTTAGAATACATTCTGCTTTGAGAAGGCTACCATTAAGGAATTCGCCGAACATTCAGGCATTGGAAGT